ATGCATCACTAGAAGGACATATCAATACATAAGAACACCCTAAAATCATCATTGTTGCCCCACAATCAAACACAACTACATAACCCGGACAAACATTACCACAACAATTTATTGCCCACACATTGAACAAATGCAATTGAAAGACAGATTGGGAAAGAGAAATAGAAACAAACTTCCCTGCAAGAGGTATCAACATCCCACATCCTTGTTTCCCAGCCAGGTAAGATCAGTTTTAAGAACTCTTCTAGCACAGGATGGCGAATTTACTGCTCCCGCACCTCCTTCCGTATTTTTGCCAGCTTTTCCTCCATCTCCTTGGTCGTCATCTCCCACCCCTGTTCACTATTTGGGACCATAAGATCCATAATAGCGTCACCCGCCTCCTCCTCTGACTCCTCTTCACTGTCCGCAACCACAAGCTCTTCCGGACCTCCTCCGTTTGGAACCTGGGCCTCGAAAACGCTCTTAGGGGCCACAAGGTCCTCTGGACCTTTAACCTCCTTCGGGCCTTGACCATGGTAGTATTCTGAGTCATCTTCACTGTCCGGAACCATCAGATCGTCCATGCATGCAGTCGTTGCAGGTAGATCTGAAATGGTTGTTGGATTTATGGATTTTGAATTAGGACAGACGGTTAGAAAGTGGAAGAGCTAGGGTTAGACAGGATTTGAAATCAGGGAAGGAATTGCAGTTCAACGAATTCAAGAGTGGAAGGAGAGGAGAGAAAATGGCCGGAAAAGTGTAAGGTGTGACAGGCGGTGGAGGGGAAGATGTAACGAGGAAGATGAGAGAGAGAGAGATAGACCGTAGGATAGGAAGGAAGTAGTATACCGAGGTTGGGGGGTAAATGTTTTAGAGGGTATAATGGGTTTTTAGTGTGTAAAATCTTTCCAAATATAGAAAGGAGAGCAATTTTCTGGGGTAGCCCAAAAAGGAAACAGGGAACAACATTGTGTGATTCTCCTATATAAATATAAACCATATACATCTAATTTTTTAAAATAAAATAATGAGAAACTTATTTTATACTTTATGTGCATGTATTTAGGATAAGTAATAAATAATAAATTGAAGTAATTTCAGATTTTCGCATTCTCCATATGCATTCCATATATAGATTATCGAGTTAAGGATTGAAATAGTATTGATCACATATATGATATAATAAGTTAATTATGACTACATATACATTGTAAGATTCTCAAATTAAATAAAAAAACATTTTCTTAATTGTTTGGTTCTCCATAATATTATGGAATTGGTACTTTGGCTACTAAAATTTAAGAGTTTGCTATGTGGATTGTTAAGGTAAGAGATGATGACATTAATGTAAAAAAAATAATGATGATTTTTTAGAAGTGGGTGTGAGTAATTTGATTTCTAAAATAAAAGATTGTCATATCATAGCTGATGGACTATCTACCCGGGGGGTATCTTATCCGAGGGGTTATTGCGGGAATAACTTAGAGAGAAGTCAGAGTAAATAGGAGGAGAGAGAGTCGATTTTATTAAATGAACTCAGCGTCGTTTACAAGGAGAATAAGGGCTGCTATTTATAGCAGCAATAAATGTGATGAGAGTACGCGTGTCAGTAATCCAACGGCCGAGGGGTCACATCAATCGGGGTGGCACCGACCATCGCACGTTCCCCACATTAAATGCGGTGGGTGGATGTGACGTCGCATTAAATGCGGTGGTTGGCTGTCTCCAAAGGGAATATTCGATGATTGAGTCCGTTTAGCCGAAGGCTCCTCGCGTAGCCGAGGGCTTTGTGTGGACGAAGGCACTGTGTGGCCGAAGGCTTCATGTATGGCCGAGGGCTTCATGTATGGCCGAGGGCTTCATGTATGGCCGAAGGCTTCATGTATGGCCGAAGGCTTCATGTATGGCCGAAGGCTTCATGTATGGCCGAGGGCTTCATGTATGGCCGAAGGCTTGACGTATGGTCGAGGGCTTCATGTATGGCCGAAGGCTTGATGTATGACTGAGGGCTTCATGTGTGGCCGAAGGCTCCATGTGTGGCCGAAGGCTCCATGTATGGCCGAAGGCTCCCTGTGTGGCCGAAGGCTTCATGTATGGCCGAAGGCTCCCTATGTGGCCGAAGGCTCCATGTGTGGCCGAAGGCTCCCAGTGTAGCCGAAGGTTCCATGTGTGGCCGAAGGCTTCATGTATGGCCGAAGGCTCCCAGTGTAGCCGAATGCTTGGTTCAGCCGAGGGCTTCCCCTGGTGCCGAGGGCTCCACAGTGCCGAAGGCTCCTGTTTTCTGTCATTTTCTCCCAGTCGCTTCGCATGGTCGAATATGGCGGTTCTGTGAGTTTTGGAGCCTTCAGCCAAGGAGGCCGAAGGCATCCCTGTGTGTACTGTGGGCTTCTTGACGCTTGGGCCGCCGAATCTTGGGCCTCCTGAGCTCCTTGGGCTTGTTGGGCTTGTGATAGATTAGTAGGAGTCTGTGGGCCGGGGGTTCCCGGGCCATATACTCCATCAATTGCTATAGATGAAATTTGAAATTAATGTGTGGGGTGCATTTCAACATCACTTTTTAATATATTTCCTTTAATTAATTTACAATTCACAACGAACAAATGTTTATTTGAAGTGAAATGATGAACTATTTATGTATTGTATAATATTTATATCTTGTGAAGTATTCAAACATTTTCAAAATCCGTCGGGGGCAACGCTTGGGTCAAACACTAGTAATATAACTATATTACTCGTATAAGAAATGGTCTGGTCAGACACTAGCAAAATTATAAGTAATGAATTGTAGATTATGGCAATAACATGTCAACTTAAGATTTTGCTAAAGTGTATATGCAGTGATTTATAATAATTTATTTAACTTACTTCCCGATAAAATTTTGAGCTGAAATTTTGTGCACATAATGTAAACTTCACGAAGAACACTCACAAATTTTCATAAAACAAATCGATCTGAAAGCTTCTCAAACGTTTTTGTCCGTACGTGATAGATCATTTCTCATTGTATTGCTCCGTATAATACTCCCTCCGTCCCAGGGAGAAGTTCCCGGGTTGACTTTCACACATATTTAGGAAATAAAGTTACTGAGGGGTAAATTTTACTGTTTGGCACTGTTTGGACACTGTTTGGCACTGTTTCGACACTGTTTGGCACTGTTTTGCACTGTTTTGCACTGTTTGACACTGTTTTGATGTAGGATAACTTTCCATTTAGGGAAATGGGAACTTTTTGTTGGGACTACCAAAAAAGGAAAGTGGGAACTTCTCCCTGGGACGGAGGGAGTACTATACTATTACAAATGGGCCCCCAAAGTTGGTGGGCCCTGTTGAAAGACGGTTTTGGTACGGTGTGAGCGATGTGGGAACTTCACGTTTACAAGAGATAATAGTATATATTCGAACAATACACTCAAGCCAGATCAGAAATATTGTTCAAATCAGATCAGATCAGTACAGATCAAGCCAGATCATAAATATTCGGATCAAATAATTTTTTTTTAGCTCAGATCATATTAGATCTTAAAAATTCAAAACCAAATCTAAAAGCTTATTGTTACGCAAGTTGTGACGCACCACAACATGCGTCAATATATACGCCAATTGGTTTTGAAAGTTGGTACTGGATCAATGACTTTTGGGGTGAACAGATATACATTCTGTCCCCCCAATAACTTACTTTTTTTTCTCAAACATTTTTGTTTTCTTTAATCATTTTTTGTCCCCCCAAACATCTTTTCTTTTACAATTTTTTCAAATTCAAACAGGGGTTGTATATATTTTGGGACGACATGATGGAGCAAATAGAGTAATGATACGAAATAACGAAAACCATTGATTGGTGTTGATAAATTTTAAATAAATTGAAGGGAAAAAGTGGAAATTCAAAATTAAATAGGAATATTATGCTTTCATTCTCTAAATAGAGTAATTAATTAGTGTCGTGCTTTAGAAATACTCATATTTAAGGAAGTATACAACCATATTGTCAATATATTATTTTGAACTTCAAGACCATAGTAGGATGCACTTGCTTTGAAATTTTATACGATAGTATTATTTTTACTCCTATATGAATTTTCCTTTTTTCTCAATTAATGATTTGTTTACTCTTTTTTTATGATCAATGACTTATATTAATATCGAAAAAACATGCAAGCCAGTCTCCAGACACCAATTTTTTATCCGATCGTAAGCTCCAGGAATAGAAATTGAGTCAGTCATCCTGTACAAAATAATCTGACTTGGTAGATACAAAAGGACAATTTTAAGCCTAAAACAACTGGAACTGAAGAACTATTTATCAAAAGTATTCCAAATATCCAAATATTTCAACCATACCTACTCGAATTAAAATAAAGATAAAAGTACTCCGTACTACTAAAGAAAAAATAATAGTGAAAGAGAGTCTTTCCAAGAAAAGAAGTAAATTAATGTGATCATTAAAAAGATGATTACTATGCTACTATCGTATTAAACATGAAATAGAAGTAAATTATTGTGATCTTTAAATCATACTGTCATATTTTGATATTACTAAACATCTAATATAAGTAGCAGTGTAGCACACGAAAATGCAAAATAGTAAATACTTTCTCCGTTCCTAAATAAGTGCAACAGTCAACATTTCACACTTGTCGAGGCACAACTTTGACCATTAATGTATATAATTCTCTGATCTATTAGTAAAAAATTTTAAAAAATTAGTTTTTGAAAATTTACAATGAGACAAATTTAATAATATAGTTTTCAAAAATATTTATAAATACATCAATAAATAAAATGTAGTCAAAGTAGAACATGCAAAAAGTATAAAATTTCACATGTTGCACTTATTAAAGAACGGAGTTAGTATGTAATAAGGAATGCGAAATGGTCCTGTCCCTCCGGCTTAAAAAAGAGGATATATTTATATTATTCATATATACATACATGTATTCTATTTATATATTTGCTCACGTTCTTTCCATACTACTTTATGCATACTATATAAATGGCTCTACATACATGTCATTGGGAGAGGCAAGGCAGGGCTGTGCAATGAGAGCGAAGAAAGAAACCATGAAAATGGAAGAAGAGATGATGCGAAAAGTGCATTCAACAGGTACATACACAAAATTTACTCGATCATATTTACCATCTTCTATCTATCAATCTCATGCATATAACGGAATTGTATATTCTTTTCATGTTTTTTGTTACCGGTACGTAGCAGCTCCAAATAAACCTAAAGGTTACCCAACTACCGACGACTGCCCACCGGGAAAGAAGTGGTTGTTTCTCCTAAACAAGTCGAAGGGGTAATTACAATTACGCAGTACTTGATGATATACGAAGTATAAAGCATTACTATTTGATACTCCGTACTATATAGCTAGTAATAATAATCCCGCTTATAGTACATACTTTATTCCCGTATTTATATATATATATATATATATATATATATATATATATATATATATATATATATATCGAGTATATAAATAAGGGAATATATATATGTGTGTGTGGGGGGGTAAGAGACTATCACTAAGAAAAAGCGGACGTCTCCCTATGGATTAGGGTTGGGGTTTCTCGGCGGCGTTCTTCTTTTCGATCGCGAAGGGAAGACGGCATCGGCTCGAGTTGTTTGGTTGGGCTGGCACGGGACTTGGGGCTGGTGCACAGCAGATCGTTGATCGCATCAGTTAGAAGGCTTTCGAATGCAGCAGGGGTCGGGCAGTTTGGATCGCGGTTTCGCTTGGGTCATGGCCTGCTCGTTTGTGGTACTGGTTTCGGTTGGGCAAATACCATCAGGCGGAGATTCCGAGTTCACTCGTGCTATAATTGCAGGGGATAAGAAGGTGTCTTTGAAATTTGTGGTGGTAGAATTGCAAGGAATTTTTCAAGACGAAGGTTTGTTGATCCGCCCCCCTCCTGAGCCACCGCCAAGGATGACGCTTGAAGCAGGGTTTCGTTTTCGCTGTCAGTTTAGTTTATTTAATTTCGTTTTACTCTTGTTGAATTTCTTTGACATGTTGAATTCTGTCGTTGTTGCTTTCTGTATTGTCGTTTTCAATCAGACTCTTACATTAGGTAGGGGTGATGGGGGTTTTGCTCTAGCCACGCTTGGCTCATTTAGACTCATTATAGGACAAGCGAATCATATTGCTCTATACAAGGTGATTGGTTCTCCAACTGGTCCGAGGGTCGGTGGCTGGAAGTATTTCATTTGTCATTTGTATCCCTTGCTGAATGTTTTATTATCAATATAAGTCCCCTTGTTGCAATATACTCCCTCCGTTCCTTTTTAATTGCAACAGTCAACATTTCACGTTTACCAACGCACAAGTTTGACCATTAATATCTTTTATTCCTTATTAGTAAAAAAATTAAAATATTCATATTTTGAAAATTTAGAATGAGAAGAATTTAACAACATTTTTAAAAAATTTAATTTATTATACATCAATTAATAAAATGTAGTCAAAGTAGAAGATGTGAATAGTGCAAAAAGTCCAATGTTGCAACTAAAAGAGAACGGAAGTAGTATATATATATATATATATATATATATATATATATATATATATATATATATATATATATATATATATAGGGGAAAGATCAAGTACAAAGTGTGCTTATTGTGCAAATATTTGTACGATGCACATTGACGTTATTTGCATTGCATATTGAGGTTCAAAGTATTGCACATTATAAAGTCATAAAAATAACAGTTGCACATTAAGGTGCAACGAGTTGCACCCTAAAAAGTTGAGTTTTATTACAAAAATGCCACCTTGCCTTTATGTCTTTTGGATCAACTCATCGGACGGTCAAGATGAGTTTGTACTTTGTAAATTAAGAAGACTTTGTATTTGATCTCTATTCTATATATATATATATATATATATATATAGAGAGAGAGAGAGAGAGAGGGGAATGGTCATGTCTAGCCGGAGGGACAGGGCCCTCCGTCCAATGGTCGCCGTCTGGGACATTTCCGGTGGAATTTTTTGATGAAATTTTTTGTGTTAAAAGTTTTATCTAGAAGGCAATCAAATAATTTTTTTGAAGATAACTCTATCAAATTATATATATCAAACGGAGTTACTTTCAAAAATTAATTCATGTTATAATAATATTCCTTCGTATTAATTTTGACGTGCTGGAGTTGGTGTGTGCAGCTGCGACATACTGCTTCATTTGATGCAGTGCTGCTATTACATGACGTGCTGTGCTTGCCGCTTCAAAGACACTAATCCGCCATCGGACCTGCAAATGACTCAGAGCGGCCGTGTATCTGCAAAGTGAGTTGCGGCCCCTGGGCCGGCTGGGCAACAAGTTTTTTTCTCCATACCATCCTTTTAAAACCTTTATACTATTTCGTATCTACATAAGTTAATGTCGAGATTCTTGATTAGGATGAAACTAAATCTGCGACCTTCTCTTTTAGAGATAACTGTAATGTCATCAGACTATAAAATAATTGACATTTACCTTGGAATCTATTTCTATATATGTTATGTTTTGTTCGGTCTGGTCTATACATCTACTAGCCAGGCCGGCCAATTAATGGTTTATGAGTTTATCTAAATATACATCCGTGTGTATGTATGTGCCGTTATTTTTTATTATACAAAAGCAAAATGAAAACTGCACAGTGTTCCTGCCTAAACACTGTGCAGTAATGGGCCGGGTCAGTTAAAATGGGTCCAAAATCGGGTCATTCTACATCTGTCCTTTGCTGCTCAGTAACTGTGTCAGCTCCATGGTCCAACGTATGTTTGTGTGGCTCGAGGAACAGATTATATGGGTTCTAAAGAAATCTTTAGTCTGACAAATTCAGTTGACAATTTCGGAGTGTCAATTATTAAAAAAAAATGCACCACTCAGTAATCAAATACTCAGTCTGAAAATGGAATCCGCATGCAAAATTTGTAATATTTGAGCCGCCTATCCATTTAATGCTATGTACTACATTTACTGTTACAACATTTGTTTATTCGAAATTTTCAAAATCTATATACATATTGCTGCTGAGCCAGCATACAACATTAATTGTTTGTACTACAAAATAATAAAATAAAGATTGTGTAAGTATTAACCATTGGTTAATATCCACACCATATTAAATGCTTGCTTCATTTGACACTGCCTTCTGCCCCTATATATACTTACACGACGGGTTGCATAACAACACCCAAACCAAGCAATTCTCAAATGGTAGATTAATCATATCTTTGTAAATTTTATGCTTAAAATTGTTCAGAAATGTTTATTAGTGATTAACATTTAACAATGATCTTTTGCGGGCTACATACATTCCAACAAAAAACTAGGATACCCGAAGAGAGCTACAGCTAGCATAGAAAAGAAAGGGATTATTTAAAAGTAAGGGTTTTATGATACTCACTTAGTTCAGTGTAATAAGTGTGTGTGTAATATTTCAGGAATAAAAACATGTTTATTCCATAAATAATCATATGATTAGCCCAAAATATTCACATTTTTGTTATCAAATCAAGGTTACTGAAAGAACCAAATAACTACATTTTTAGTTCGGATTCATACCTGCTTTGAAACTGCGCAATCTTCAAACCTGCATATCCTACATATTTTAATCTAATTAATAATTACATTTTTCTCATGAATATTACATAATTGGCATCTTCAATAGGGTACAAAACCCTATTATTTATACATTTTCTATACGATAACCTAATAACTAAAAATAAGAAAAAGCATCTTGCTTAGCCAGTGAAACCTGCAAGAATTATGGAGAATTAGATTCCAGAACATGAAAATATCAATTACAATATTACAAAATGTTCTGTCTAAGTGTACATGCAACTTTTGAAGCATGCATCAGTAGTCATCGAGGATACCTCCCAAAGTGTGAACGATGTCTTTTTCGTCCAAATATAATGGAATAATCCCTTTTGTAGTTAGAAAGTATATGACAAAGCAGCCAATAACCAAAATGCATCATCTTCGCTTATGTAAAGAAGCAGAAGACATGCAACAAACCCCATACCGTGCAATATGGTGTGATGCCAATATCATGCAACCCAAAAGAACAAGATTAACTTTCTTTTAATGAATAGAGTATGTACCTGCACATATTCAACATCTCTGTCATTTAGAGTATGTTTCAAGAACATTGTAAAGAGACCTCTGTCCAGGTTCATGCCTTTGTTGAAAGATTACATGTGAAGGAAAGGTGTGAGGGATATCTTGAATGATATCTAACTCAAAAGTTGATGTCTCATATCTTTTATTTTTTATTATAAAAAAGCAGGACAATTCCTCAATTGTGTTTCCACCCAAACGTAGCTTAACTCCTGGTCGGGTCGGGTCAGGTCAGAAGTGGGTCTGAAGCTATGTGGTCCAACTGTGCTACTATTGGTCTATGGGCACATCAACCAACATTTAATGCAAAAATGGGGCTCCATAAAATGCAATTAATGCATAGTACAAAAGGAGCTCAATTATTGATATCTTCAGGCTTTGTAGCTCAATACACCAGGGCGTAACAGTTCATATTGCGTGGCTCAAGAGTCAAGACTGACATTTAATGAATTGTACATGAAAACCTTTTTTCTGTAATAATGGAATTCGAACTTTAAAAAAACAATTGATTTAATATCTAATAGCATTAAATGCTTTGTACTATGAACAATGTACATTGTCCTTATTACTCCAAACTCTAAACACTTCATTTGGAATGAGGATATCTCTGAAGTAGAGTAAAAATATCAAATAACTATTAAATGTTTTGTACTTTTGTACTACCTAACTGTGAAAACCACACCATATCCCTACCCGATCTAGCTGCATTCATCCTCTTACATGTATTACCACTGAAAAGTTTCTTTTTTGGAAAAAAGTACTCCCCGGAAAATTGTTCCCGGTTTTTTTTTTGGGCCGTCCCAAAAAATTGTTCCACTTTCCCCTTTTGGAAAGTTTTTTGTGGCTACAATTCATTTACCTTTTTCATACTCAACCACAACCATACATTTCCACTTTATTCCCACTTTCTTAAACTCCGTTCCAAGTCAATGCGGGAACAATTTTCCGGGACGGAGGGAGTATTCCATAATGCATGTAATGTGAAGACATGTTTATAAATATGTAAACACAGATTATTTATATCAGTATATATGAAAGTGTGGTCCATATACATATTGTTTATCAAAATAATTCAAATGATTAAATATAATATAAATAATACGGAGTATATAATATTTATATACAGAAAATATTTCGTTAAAAGTGTATAGAAGTATAAATAGAAGTTTTGGTTTCGCTAGCTTTAAAAAAACAGATTCCACATTGCACTTGCATTTTTGAAATTTACGGTTTACCCAGTGTATATAAAAAATATTACTTGAAAATCAGATAGAGTGTGGCTTTATAAAGGGTTATAGTTTAGAAGCATGCTCTGTATAATTTTACAGATCTTATCTTATCCACAAGCATATGAGATACACAATCTATGTGTATGACATTTTTGTACTCCATATTTCTTATCTCATTGGTTTGGCATGATAGTATGGTGATGTCATTTATGGTATGCATATATGCCATACTTACCCAGAAATAAATGAATCAAATAAAGCACAAAAAATAAAAACATTTACAAATAAATCCGAATATGAGTTTGCATTAGAAGAGTTCCTAAAAACATAGGCCAAATTAACTTTTGAAACCATTTTTTAAGTATGTTAAAGTTTAGAGTGAGAAGAAAACAGATTTGCATGAGCATGACTATGGCTGAAACGATTCTTATGATTTCTATTATGTGTGTGTGTATATCTGTGTGTCAAATTCTCAATTATTATTTAGTGCTTCAACTTTATGTTACAAGTCAGGTTATCTGTAGAGAATCACAGAAAGAGATAACGAGACCTTGTATCCAATTTACACAGATTGAGAATTCATAGGGGAGAGAGGATAGAGGAAGAAGATGATCTTATTATTCATATCCGAACGGGCTACATACACTTCTATATAAACTGTTCAACTAATTTGTTAAAAGCTAGCTAACTCCAACTAACTTCTAACTAATCTTTATACACATCATCAGCTTATTGTTTCTAATTACAATACGTAAGGAAAGTATGCTGACACCAATAGCTGAGCTGGCATTTCCTTATCTGACTGTATCAATACTCCCTCCATCACAACTGACTTGTCCTCAAGTCATGTTGTTATAAAAATCAGGATACGCTGCCTTAATAAAGTCTGACCACTCCCATGTTGCCTCTTCCACACCTTGCCA